TCTAAATCAAGTCGCTAGAGAAGATCGCTTAGTACATATGGCCACTGAAATCACAGCACAGCTCAATCAAACCTCTACTGAAGCTCGTCACAAAAATATTTTTCGTAGTTGCCATGTTGTAGATTCCACAGAATTGCGGCACTGGAGACAGATCTCGCCATCCACGAAGGAAGGGGACATGAAGTCTCCTCATCCCCGGTGATGAGAGACGTGCCGTCTCACATAAGACATCTTCCACTCATCTAACATCTCGAACGCGGTCATAAGATATCGTGCACAACTCCAGGCAACACCCGTAAAAACACGTCATTTCGAATATATAACATCGAAGATATAACATTGTATGACACTCCAAATAATGTGTGAAGTGGACGCAATGCGTATCGCGGTGCAGGTTATATAAAGACGTACTAATTGATCCTCTGTGAGAATTTTTGTTGTGTTTGTTGTTTCCAAGAATTAAGCCTCGTTAAAAGAAGTACTAGGCGGACGTTAGAGAAAAACGTGGCTTGTAGAATTTGTAGTTAAAATCCAACATCATATCAGAGTCCGTTCATCGTCACCGTCGTTTCCGGTCATCAGAGAAACTGATCGAGATTTTGAAGGTAACCACTCATGGAAACAACAACCAGGCGCAAGGAAGCTACGCAGAAAATGGTAATTTATGCACGAAAGCAGAAGGTCAACGTACAACTTGCTTGTCCGATCGTCCATTGCGGTTTTCATAGCCATTTAGTTAGTAAGCTCAGCTAATGCTTTTCGCCATATCACGGGGATTTCATCATTTTATTTAATGAAAATTGAAGTTGGTAAACCTAAACAAAGTAAAATTGTATAGTTAATGACCTATAGAAGCAAACGCAAACAAAAAGTATTGACCTTTTTGTTTTACTTTCTTTGTTGAGTGCCAAGTAGTATAGGCAGAACAACAACGATGAGAAGTAGGAGAGCCCAAGGAGAAGGCGAGAGCAATGAGTTATTGACACATGATTGGTCCTAAGAGTGTAAATGTGGTCTGTCATCATAGCTGAAACTCCTACCGGGCATGTACCACAGTTTTGCATATTGTGTAGTGTGCTAAAGATCTTAGCGGGCTAGTGAGTTACTCCAGTCCTGCACCTGAAACAGATATCGGGTACATGGGATCAGAGATCGTTTTGACTTGAACTTCACAAACGCTTCTTAGATAATTTGTGACTGCATATGGCGAGTAATACATACGAGTTCTAAATAAGTGATATCATGTACTCGTGTAAGTAATATCATAGCGGCTTATGCCATATTTATGCGACCTTCTCTTTTATAACATCTTACATGCCATAGTTATGTCAACTTATGTTTGGTATATAAGGAACAGGTCATCCACCTGTCAAATTAAGCTCACTTTATAGCAGCACACAAGGGCGTCTCCAACTCATCTTCAGTCATCTCTTCTTGCAAATTAGAGCCGAGGCAGCGCCGGCCGACCGCCAGCCATACATCGGCCGCCTATTAATCGCGTGTAGGTTCTGTGTACACGTACAAGGAAATCTCGGCCTGTGTTTGGGCAGGAACTTGACGCCTACCATACGGAGGCAAGCTGTACAGCGTCATGCCTCCCACACACCGCAAACCCTCCATGAAATTAAAATCCACGAGTTTATTCCATTAGATCTTTGAAATTCCAATTCTAGTGCCAACATTTCAAGAAATGAGAGGAAATTTCAGAAACTAAAGTTAAGCAACTCAAAGCTTGAAGAGTGGAGAATTAGCGACTCGATTGCATGTTAAGATCGAACTTAATCGGTAGAAGTAACAAAGTCTTGAATATTATTGCTCGTCGGAGTATTTTCCACCAGTAAAATCTAATTAAATTGTTAGATAAGGTAATCAGTTTTCAGTACGCAGATTTAAATTGAGTATTGTGTTAGGTATGAACGAGAATGAATGTTCCGTACTATAACAATAATATGTCATTAGTCTGCCCATCTCATTAGCTGTAACCATCTCATTAGCTGGGTACCATCTCAACCAGGGTAACCATCTCATTAGCTGATCTTGATATGGTGCTGTTTGTACCCACAACTTTGTCCGGTCATGTTGCTGCTTGTATCCACAACTTTGTCCGGTCATGTTGCTGTTTATCCCCACAAATTTGAGAGAGGCGAATTTTGATGGCAAATTCAAGGTCTCCAACTACTCGCATCAGGAGCTGAACAGTATGTTCGCGATTTAATACGCTTTTCTTCATCAAAGTCACATATTTGTCCCTCAACATCGTAAAGTACGAAGAAAAATGAATTTGAGAGTACAATTCTAGTTGAGATGAAGGTTAGAGCAGAGAAGAACGGTTAAAACTACTATAGTCGTAGTAAATTCTAACAGGGCAACCAATAAGGACCGTGAAACACAAGTGCGGGATTGGTTTAAAAAACTTACGATCAACTCATTCCCCTCTCGAGAATCTGGCACAAGATCATGAAATGGGACGATTGAGTTGCCCAGTCCAAGGCCAGTTTAAAAGGCCGCGCGAAGTGTTATGCGGCCAGAGCAGCCGTGAGCTCGCCTCATTCGCGTCTCTAAATCTCGCTACCCACAGAAAAGTTAAGCGATTAAATACGAATCTTAAATACGATCAAACACGGAGCAAAATTCATGCGGTGGCGGCAGAAATTTCAAAGAATTTCCAAGAAAGAAAATGAGGAGATCTTGTCGGTTGGAATGAAATCACAATCAGTGTTCTAACGTATCAATTCCTTTCATTGAAATGCATACTGAAAATTATACGTAAAGACCCATGGGTTATGAGCTTCCAAAATATACATGGTTGGAAAACGGCGACGGCTTCGCGAGGAGCGACAACTGCCAGTCATCAGAGGCAGTGCGCCCGCCAAGACGGCAACGACTTACCAAGTTACCACCCTCAGAGCACGAGCGTCACACGTTGGGCTCAGTCATGATGGCAATTCACGCATCTCGATACAGTTATAACATGCAAAAATGTTATTGATTTTCATCCAAAATAGTTGGATGCTAGCCAGCCCAGCCAATACAGAAGCCTGACCGACAAGTTAACGTAAGAAATGTTAGACCAATTGACAGTTTTCCTCCAATAGAAACGGTTAAAATGACCTGCGGCCAATCGGCAATGGATGACGTTCGTCCTCGGAAGAATCCTGTCAATAATGGCCGTCAAACCCAGACCTTTCATTGTCAAAGTGATTTTATTATCGCGATCCAGAAGTATTCACAGTTGATCACAATATATGTTCCAGGAATCGGTTTTGGATAGAGTGGTTTATTGAGGAATCAATTGAGACATAAAACACACCCAATAATAATTCTGGTCCAAATAGTGAGCACTCTTGCGCTTCCATTGCAATGAAACGTTTTCAGGGAAATGCAGAGCATTGTAACAAACTAGGCCTGACAGCGACACAGCACGATATCCAACATGATTGAAAGACGGATGGACATCGTACAGAAAAGTACCTGGTAAACAAGAAGAGTATCAAAACAACGGACTTAGCTACTACAGAGTGCCTGGTCAAGGGACTCTACGCACCTTCACACTAGCAGATGACGTCGCGAATAGGAAGACAGAAGGGACGTTTATGAAGCCGTTTGAATACATCAATAAATGAGTATCACAAGAACACACGCTTCGAGTTTAGGATAAGAACCTCTGCAGCTAGATCATTAGCTTATTAGGTTCAACACGCAACAATGACATCATCAGCATCTTCTTTGCGTCCAAGAATCCGCGTCTCATAAACGATAACAAAATTGCAAGGATAGGGATGCTAATTAGCGAACCAACTCTAGTACATATATGCCATAGAAGAATAGAATATTGGTTTAATAATTGCTCGCGGTTAATTCATATAATTTATGATCTTGCTGATCTTTACCACCCCTAACAGCTTCAAAAGTGGCATCGTACATTCACTGGAAGCTTGCGTAATCAACCCTCCACGGTTGCCAGAGCTCTACTGAGGTGGACCAATTGAGTGAACCCGCTTACCTGTACGCTGCGGGGTTATCTGCTGTACCCTGGTGAGATGACTGATTTAATAAAAATTGAGTTAGCTTTGCAAGTAGTATCTATAAGGCGCTTGCGAGGAAGCAGTGTGAAATGTATGAAAGAAAATTTAGAAGTATTGATTGCTTCAACTTAATTAACGTTGTATGCTGCAGTTACCGAGTATGATGTCAGTGAAGCTTAATAATTTTCTCAAACTTATCTTGCATTTTACATAGAATTTTTGAACGCTGGCGTTAATGCATATACTTGTAGTGGGGCTAATAATCAGTCTTCTATCAGTATTTGCCGTGTATCCGTGCCTTGATTCAAAATAGATTTTCTACACCTCTAATTTTTATATTTGTGGTAATTGCAATGGAGTAAGGAACTCTTAATTTCGATGATACAATTTAGCACCATAATTTCACTAAACGTCGATATATTGTAGTGGCTCAATTTCTTACAAAGGAATGTTACCACTAATAAGAACATTGAATTTCATTTTTCCATTATTTCATTCACTAAGCAGCTTGCCACCTTCATCCGCATTCCGCGGTCTCTTGCTCTTCATGTTCGATAAGAATGAAACTTGATTTCCGAGAAAAGATTTTTTCGAAATAAATATTATAGAAGGATGGCAAAAAAATAATTTTTTATTTCTGAAATGATTAAATTTAAGTTTAAATTTTTATTAGTCCCCAAAATTTTTAATTTAAACTAGTGCCTCACAAAATTTATCGGTTAACTTTCTTTCGTTCAAACGAAGAAAAATTTTGATGGCCTACCAAAACAAATATCTGAACATAGGCCTTAGTTCTCATTTGAATTTTTAATGACTAAAAGAAGCACTACTAAGACTTGAGTGACGGGTGACGTAAGGAAGCGAACAAGTCTCGGTATTTGATCATCTTTGTGTTGCGCGTTTCACTATTTTTGACCGTTGGGTCAGGTTGAGTCATATTTTGAGTTGGGGAACAGGGATAAATGAAACAATAGCACAAATGTACCGTTTTATGCTTGCAAGTTGCCATAACAACCCGTAGAAAAATACATGAGCATGCACATATTCATTGGTATGATTATTGAAGCTATTAATTGTTGCTGCACACACTCATAAAATTGCTTGCTCACTTGCAAGTGCTAAAAAAACGTGTTATGAAGGATTAAGCTTACCTATCGACAGGCTTATTATTTTTTTAGAAATATCAGAATAAATCTAACGAAATTCCTCTAAAATCTGGCGACTGTAAATATTAAACAATATATTTTGTAATAAAACCAATGAAATAACCATGAAAGTATTCTGAATTGTTGCAACGAGTTTCAGCTAACGTTACATGCGACTAGGCATGTTGAAAAATGTTTAACCGAGAGTCCTAAACCAGATAGTCACATGGATTGAATGGCCAGTCACGTCCCTAACATTTACCAAGACATGCCTAAAAGTTTTAAATTAATTCTTGTCATTGACGGACAAATTCCAAATGTCTGGCTCCAAAATCAAGCCAAACATTAAAAAACATTACAACGAGAATCGTCATGGCTAGAAATTCAACAGCTATTTCGACTAGCCAAAGAGGAACATTGGATTGAAAGAGGAATTTCACCAGGCGGATAAAGAATTATTTTTATTTTAATCCATACGGAACCTCTCTAAATATTCATGATAGGCTGCGAAGAAGTTTTGCGAGTAAATACAACTAAAGATCCATCATATCACTGAATAATCAGAAAAATCTCAAATTTTAATCAACTAGCATATGCAAAACGTACAAATCATATTCCAATATTATATAATATGATTGGTACATTGTTCGTATCATATTTCAAATGAGTGTGGCAGCGCACTACAGCGTTAACTCACGTGAATGTCTTCAAGTTTTAATGTTTTAAAACCCTACCCTAGTCTTCAAACCTCCACCCTAGTCTTCAAGTTTTAAATTATTCGGTGGAAAACATATTTTTTTTTTACTCAGTCAAGAAACACAAGATAGGACTTCATTATATGAGTAAACTGCTGAATATAACTAAACAATCGGATGAATAACAACTCACATGTTTCATACATAATTACAAAAATTAGAATTATATAGTATCGCAGCTGCCGCGTTGCTCAAAGATACAGCAAATAAGTTTAATATCCATGCAGGCCAATTCGACCCGAGGTACAATTCAATCTTCCCTTATAGCACAATAACTCCACTTCTGGCACTAGACGTAACGCATGCAGTAGTTGCCGAACATAGAGAACGGTATTGGCGGAATAATATAAGTGTAGATGACAACACCCCCGGGACTCTTATTTGCTGGCATTAGATAGATGACAAGGAAAAAAGAACACTGCTGATGAGGATATTATAGTGCAATACAATTCATGGAAAAATATTGTTAAAAGCAATAAATGAGCAATAAAAGCAGTAAATGAGCAAGTGTGAAACATTGTCAGATGTCAATACGATTAATGGCTATTTCCTATGGCAATATCACAGTCATCAGCGTATCTTTAAATTCAAAAATAAAAAAATGTCTAGTTTACAATGGTGTAACAGAAAGTTAATAATACGGTAGTAGAACGTTCATTAAACGTACTGGACGAGGCTAGGAGACACAACGTAGCCTGGTATTTCGAGACTGTTAATAAGAGAGTCTAAGACTCTATGAAATCCAACATATTGACTACACTTGATGGTTCGTAAAAGCGGCTCTATCATCCCGAAGCTGGAAGACGGTAAAGTTAAGGCTGAGAAATGCAAGGCTTCGGGAGGATCGTAGGTCCTGTAGAGCGCTGGAGTGACACGACGAAGCTCGGTTGTGTAGGGCCGGCCCATACATAGCGCGAACGTCAGGAACAACGACCCACCGTAGATGAAGGTGAACAACACACTTCGAGAGCTCAGATGTGGATCAAGAACTTTAAATATCACGTGAAATACGACGGCACCTGTTAAAGAGATGAGCAGGAGCTCGCGAAGAGATTCGGTGTCGTACCGGTAAGATCTAAGACCCACAGGCTCCTGCAGGTGAAGGAAAAGCCACTGGTCCGACCTGGGGATAAGTTCCCCACAAGACATGCGATGCGAAAGCTTGTGCCTCACTATTTTCTTGATGTCCTGCGAGAAGTGTGGTAAAGGAAGCACGTTGTCGTTGAAAACGGTCACCAGCAGTGGTGCAGAGTTGGTCTGGTTCAGCCCAAGACGAACGCATTCCAAGAAGGCTGTCTTGAGCTTGTTCTCTCGTTTGGACGAAAACGAGAGCTTGTCCTCGCTATTGCTCTTTGGTACGTCGTACACGGGAAAATGCTGGGCCACTTTAGTAAGGTATGGATTTTCCTCGCTTGTGCCATTGCAGAAAAAAATCCCAGTATGATTGTCGTCGACCGAGGCTTCGTGCAGGCCAACAGCAAGCTGTGTTAAATACTGTGATCCACGGCGGTGGTCAGGGTCTCGAACTAACGCGATGATTAGGTGACTGATGTTGCCAGAGCGCAGCCGTGCGTCGTAGAGAGGCAGAGTTTTGCCAGGTTCGAGGGCCTGCAAGTATGCCATGCTGTGCTTCTGACGATGATGGAACTTTGTGTCTTCCAGCAACTCGTTCTCCAAATCGTTGAGCTCAAAAAACATAGAAAAAATTCTCTCGCGTAGCAAGTAAGGGAGTACGAAACCCACGATGATGAGGTAGAGGGTCGAGAGCAATACGATGTGATTATTCATAACTAGAAAAAGCTTATAATATTTACGTGTTGAAAACCCCTGAAGTGAAAGGCACATTGGTTGCAGCTAAAGTTGACGATTACTCGGCAAAGGCGTGCCAATATGAACCGTTAGAATTGAACTATTAAATTTATTCAGAGAAAGTCAAAAACTACTGCAATGTCTGGATGCTTACAAAGCAAACGATCAACAATGGGGCCTTAATGCATTCATTCTTCCGCACATGGTTCACTGCTATACCTAACTTACAATAACAACACATTATGTATAACTGTTCTCATGATAACACTAAAACACAAGGCCCGCTTCTATATTCCGACTGTGAAAGAAAACGTCAAAATTCTATGCCCACGACGACGCATATTTCGCCGAGTGTCTCGTTTGAATATTTCTGGTCAAATAGAACTTCGAACAAATGCGATCAGTTACAGTTACTGTTAAGTCTAAGGTCACGGCGATGCTGCGAGGCCGCAGCTCTCGCAGGGTTATTGATCGAACGTCTGGGAACATCCTAGCATCATTTCACTGCTTGCAGCTTGTACATTGTACTAAGTACTATCTGCTGTAATTTTTTGTCATGCAACTATGAGGTAGTGTCACTTGAGCAAACTGATGAGCTCCTCTAATCACAAATGTGAAGTCTAAAAACCAATTTTAGTAGGCAGTAGGAGCATACGAACGACAAAGCTGAGAGTTGAGACCATCAGACCATCATGTAGGCCTCGTTATCTGTAATTTTGTGTCCAACATAGAATTCAGCAGAAACTAAAACAAATTCACTGAACGGCGCGAACACTTTCATTTAATGGTAGCTCAACTAGAGTTAGGTTTAAGAGAACAAGATACAGAGTTATTACAGACTAGAGAGCAGTTTTCTCATATAAGTTTGACATGAAGTGATAATCCAACATAATGAGGTAGCTATTATTCACGAGTCACGCTTGCGTCTTGAAAGTCGTTGCCATCGGGTCATTGACATTAGTTATGAAAAGACTCTTCAAACAAAACGCTTCGTATGTATAGGTATATCGCCAGACGCCAACTTGTGAATATTGTACAAGAAAATGCGGCTAATCAAGTCCTGTGATCACGTCTGAAAGGAAGAGAGCCACCATAATGCGTCTGTTTATGGATGCAAGCCACGTCCATTAATCTTCACGAGATGCAGTTCCATCACGGCAAATCACGCTGCCTATTCACGCACCCCTGATTTTCTTCATGCTATTTTTAATTCGTGCCTTCATTGCAGCAGCACTACAAATAGAATAAAATAAACCAGTTACAGTTCGTCATCATAAAGTCCAAGGGAGATAGAAGAAACACATCAAAATCATTTAAGCCCTTCAATAGCATACGTATCAACTTTGTTTTGCAAGCGTGACACCAGCCATGCAATGCATGCGAGGAGCCAACCTACAACACCACCACCACGGACAGCAGCAAGCTCAGCACTGAGACCAGGGCTCCCACTCAGTGTTGCCAGGTTTTTTCTCTGCGAGAATACCAGATTGCCTAGCTCAAAATACCAGAAATATACCAGAAATTCTATTGTTCGAAAACTGACTAATACCTCCAAATTTAATGAAACTATTCGTCATTTCGTCAGAAACGTTGGTTAGAAAAAGAAAAAAATATATAACTCAGTACTCACTGCAGTGACTGACAGAGAGCGCATTTTCTCGTCGACGGGAACGTGGTCACGGACGGATAGACGGACGGACATGGCGAGCACAATAGTGCACTTTTATCATAAATGAGAAAATGCGCTAAAAAGTATTTTATGTACTGTGCATTTATCAGTGTGGCACTTCTTCCCCTTCGCTCAACATGAGCAAGCCACGGAAACAGGTCATCTTCCGTTTTCATACATGCTTGCATATTGTATTAATCTAAATTTCGGGTTTGATCACTTGTTACGGCTGAGCAGATAGCTTTTGGTCCGAATAAGGGACTGCAGTACCTTAGTTGAAATTTTATTTCGTTACTTGTTTTTCACATAGGTGACTTGTGAAAACATTCACTCCACGAATGCATTGGAGACAGGTCAAAGTAGACAAGTGATGCAGTAGGCAGCCAGTTCTATGAATGGATGATGATTTACAAGATCAGTGTAATATTGTATGGCACCCCCGAATTCAAGTGGCACTCTATAATTCAAACCACCAAACAAAAATGGTGGAGCTTGCGTCGCAGAGATCGGTTCGACAACCTCACTCGTCCTAGGCCATATCATCACTGATCAGTAATCAATCAAGGATCATCACTCTCGTGTTCATATTGCATTAAGCACTTTTGTTAAATGTTAACAATTAGATTAGGGTTATTTCATCAAGCGGTAAACTTGCGGTTCCAAAAATGGCGGGAAAGCTCTCGTCGCGCCGGTTTGAAGGTAATCTATATAATCCACGCCTACGCTGGAGGAAGTTCAAACTTCAGAGGTGGAAATTAATGCAGTAAATTTGTAGTAAGTCAGAAAATACCAGAAAAATACCAGATTTAGGCATATATACCAGATCTAAAATATTCATACCAGACACCATCTGAAAATACCAGATTTGTGAAATCTGGTATAGAAATATACCATCTGGCAAAGCTGCTCCCACTCCCAGCCAGGGCTCCCAGCCAATAATTTGAGAAAAACTTAGATGGTTGCTGAAAAACACCCAGATTCTGCAGATTTTGTGGAAAAAAAACCCAGACAACAAATTTCATCAAAAACATTGTAATTTTACTTACTTCTGATGGAATTATAAGTATTCGGCTGCTGCTAAATTGATGTTCTCTGTTTTTTTTTTTGTTTAGGACGCTGTTCATATCGTGCATAGCAGGTTCCATCTACAACGTCTTTCACCAACTCATGTTTCGGCTTCCAAGTTTTGCAATTCTTTTGCTTCCTCGCAAGAAACTGATGTGCTAATAATCTTTGTGTCACTGTCTCAGTTTTAAGCGAGTTTGTTTGCTTCGTTTAACGTGTTTAACGAGCGAAAAAAATCCTTTCAACACAAGCGGATGTGTGAGGCAATAAAGTTAGATTTGTCATAAAACTAGACAGAGTTCTAAACTTTGGTCGATTCATCCCGTCTTTAATGTTACGCAGTGAACGCCAGAAGCCAATGACTGAAGTGTAGTTTAAAGATACATCGCTAAACTGCCGAAAAAGCCTCCATTCATCGTCGAGTTTGTCTAGAACATCCTCAGGAAGAAGATGGGGAAAATTCTGTGCTACGTTCGCTATGGAACTGGGAGATTTGGTAATATCTCTAGAGGCAGCGGGATCTAATATTTGTAAATTTGCAACAATGCCATCTTCTTCTAACGGGAATCTTTTTTTGATCTGTAAGCACAACTCATTGAACTCAACTAAGAATTTCAAAAAATCCGTTTTAAATCTAACGTGATTTTCCCCGATTGGAAGCAAGTATAACTCTCTCTGCAACGTCCACCCAAATACAAATCGTTAACATGCTCATGTAATGATTTATCACTTGGATCAATATCTGAAGCTTCTCAATATGAAGTCTGAAATTTTCTGATTAAAACTCAATGTTTAAAACGATCAATGTTCAAAGGTACAAAAGCAACAGTAAGCTCAACGTAACGCACGACACAACTATAACTTGTCACTTGTCAATAGCGAGCGCGGTACTGTGCAGTGTGCGCCGAGAAGTTGGGAACCGTTGCTTTGACTGGTAATGAACGCGTTCAATACTGATAATGAACGCAAACAATATCAGTACCATCTCTCAGCTAGGGAAAATATACAGTCTGACGGTTAGAGCGTTGCTCCATTCATTGTGTATTGACTGCATAATCAAATTTAAGGCATTGAGAATATTTCAATTATATTATTGGCTAAAATTAACTTCCTTAGCTAAAAAAACCCAGATTTTGCCATTTAAAAGAAAAATCCACCCAGACACCCAGGTGACGGCCAAAAACCCAGATCTGGGTGGAAAAACCCAGCGCTGTGAGCCCTGACTGAGACGATGCCACAGGCCCGCAACGGCCCACAAGTTTCGCGGATTTCCACCCATAATATGCCTCTCCTGTCTCTTGTTGAACAATTTTTTACGAAGCTATATAATCTGCATGAGTAATGAAAGTGAAAATTAATCGTAGTGTAAAGACTAGTTACGAAAAAAATCTACAAATAACGCCCAACCTGAAGCACATTGTAGGAATAGTTTTTCTCGAACACAAACATTATTTTTTTAGTTCAGAGGACTAAATATGTATTCTGGTCAAATGCAAGTTAGTGAGCAAATACATCGGTGAAAAATTCCATAAAGAGCTTTCTCAATAGCACACATGAATTAGGATCAGGGTCTTGAAACGAATAAGAAGAAAAGTCAATGCGCTTTTTCAAAACGGAAAATCGAAGCTACATATGTCGTCTGCCAAGAGGCCTGGCGATTATTTTGAAGGAGGTAAAAGTCAAAACCTCACGTTATTCATTCGGGGAAAAGCTATATCCGGGCTTCCTAGCATTTAATTATTGGCGAAGCAGAATAAACGCCAAACGTCCGTCGCGATTTATGACACGAACTTTTTTCATACGAAAATTGGGTGCTCAGGTATGTACTTCTTGAAAAATCTAAATGACTCACGTTTTCTTTTACATCTATGAACCATGAAGGTTTTTATGAAAACCTCGTACAAGAAGAGTTGGGGCTCCTAGAGCAAATGCACGCAGAGTTAGCGCTCTCTTTCCGTGGGCGACCGTGCATGGCAACGCCCCGCGACGGTGGCGCCTTGGCGGCTCTGGTCTACAACTGCAAGCACTGACTTGAGGAGTGCTAACACACGTGGATTTGGTAATAAGCGAACGATGATTTGGTGCAGGCAGACTTAGGGTAAGTAGAGTTTGTGCAGGTAGAGTTGACGAACGTAAAGTTTGTGATAGTAGAGTTATTGAACGAGAAACTTGTGCAAGTGGAGTTAGTGAACGTAGAGTACGCGCAATTAGAGTTAGTCAACGCAGAGTATGTGCAAGTAGAGTAAGTGAGCGCAAAGTGTGAGCAAGTTTTATTTAATAGGACTCTAAAAAATAGCTGCAAAATGGGTCAGATAACACTAATTGACAAAGACGGTCCAAGGGACAAACCCCCAAAAATTACAGACCTGTGAGTTTGACCATACAGGTGATCAAGGTGTTTGAGAAGGTAGTGGCCAAGTGGTCTGTTCATGTTCAGTATATGGAAGGTTCGGAACTGTGTAATAATGGACAAAACTGTTTTCGATGAAATCGTTACTGTTTTTCACAGTTTTTGGAGCACCATCACCGCATTTGCAAATGTTTTCAACAAAGTCGATAATGGGTTGCTCTTCATAAAGCTTACGCAACTCTGGGTAGGAAGATGCCTATTGGCATGGATCCACAGCTTTATTACGGACTAGTTACAAACTGTCGAAATTAAAGACTTGAATTACGACTGGGCCCTAGTGAATAATATATATGCTATTCAACGGAGCCAACCAAGTTCAGAGTGGCGAGGTACAGAGTTGGCGATGGCGCAGAGGCCGGGATGCTGCACCGTGACTTGGCATAGGACGGCACAGAAATCGATGAAAAGCAACTTGTTCGAGAACACGGAGTGTTCAGCGGTCAAGAGACGGCTGGATGCGTTTTTGAGCACGATCTGGGATCGTCTGTCTATGCCCAAGTGCAGCCCAACTACCATCGGCAAGTAGCAAGCAACAGCATTTTGCATCAGCTGATTCAAATGAGGACAGCTGCACGGTGGGCACGAGTAACGTACGTTACGTACCTCCTGGTCCCGATGGCGGACGACATGCACATCGACGGTTTAAGTATACTGAGGACAACAAAGGCGGCGCATC